TATTATTATTATTATTATTATTATTATAAAGCATTGTACGATTTGTGCATTTCTCCTTGTAAGAAATGTATTAAGTGCAGCTATTAAACTGTTGTAACACCGCTGGCCATACACGTGTAGTTTTTTCTCGTACAGTCACATCGGCTGAACGAGGAAAAGCTTGATTTCCCTATCTACATGATGGAGGAATCTCCCCTGCTTGGTTATTTGTATTGTGACAGCCCAACGTCTGTAGTTGTCAGAATACCCAACCACTGACTGCAGCTGATTGGGTGCAAATACTGATCATTTTCGGCCCGGCTCCTTCGACTTTTGTCAGAGTGGTGTCAACAGGAGGTCTTCCAGTTTATTGGATTTCAGTTCTTTCAATCATGGCACAGCACCCTGCCGGCCTTTCCCACTAGCCATGACATGTCTGCATTGCAATGAGAAGCACTGGGACTAAGGTCTGTGATGAAAGCTAAAAGGGTTTGTATAATTTCATTATCATGTTGATGAGGGGGGAGCGAGGAACCGGGGAAGCCAAAATATAATCAGATTTAACTTCAGCTTTAAAGAACACCGTGTTTTTATAAAACAAAGCCAGCAGTCTGTATTCACCTCTTTCGCCCTCCTATCCGGCTGAGGGATATCCCTTGGGGTCCTCACGTCTAATGCAAGTCGGTGGACCTGCATTAGGCATGTTGTCAGCGGCCCTTGTGGGAGCCCGGGGGAGAAGAGGCTGTGGGACCAATCTAGCAGCCAAGTGGGACTGAGGATCAGGGGAGAATATTTTCTTTATTTGCACCCCTAAACCAAATCAAGAAATTAACCCTTGCAGTGCAGGGGTAGTCCAAGTGCAAGGGTTAGTTTTTGAAAATCCTGGAGTTCCTCCTTAAATATCCTGCATGTTACATACACAGATCTATACACATCACATAAGAGGGACTATTGGGTGGAGAATGCGGGCAGCAGAAGGACGGTGCGGAGCTGTGTGGGATTCGGGAGGATGAGAAGAGTCGGATGATTTCATTCTGCAATGATTTGGTCAGGTGCTTGTAGGACTAGATCAGCCGTTCCTGGTAGGTGTCTTTCTAGAGATTTGTGCTTGTTTTTTGCTTCCCACACAGCAGCTGCTCCCATGTTTGTTTTTTTATGTTTTTTTTTTTTTTTTTTTTTTTTTTTTTTTTCTATCCTCCTTAAATATCCTGCATGTTACATACACAGATCTATACACATCACATAAGAGGGACTATTGGGTGGAGAATGCGGGCAGCAGAAGGACGGTGCCGAGCTGTGTGGGATTCGGTAGGATGAGAAGAGTCGGATGATTTCATTCTGCAATGATTTGGTCAGGTGCTTGTAGGACTAGATCAGCCGTTCCTGGTAGGTGTCTTTCTAGAGATTTGTGCTTGTTTTTTGCTTCCCACACAGCAGCTGCTCCCATGTTTGTTTTTTTATGTTTTTTTTTTTTTTTTTCTTTTTTTCTTTATCCTCACAAATTCTCCTTCCTGATGATGAGGGCGGCCTAAGTGATATGAAAATCACTGTCTTCTACTTTCCCATCAGCCATTGGAGGCTAAACGCTTAAAGGAGAACTATGAGGTCAGGGTTTTTTCCCCATAGTTTTCCTAAGGGTAACGGGAGAACACAAACTAGCTTTCTCCCGTGACCCAAAGCTCAGTATAGCTACAGCTCGCGGTATACTGAGACGCCGCAGCCGGAACGGATCCCGACATTGCTGTCGAGATCCACCCAGCTGCGGGATTGACAGTTGGCTCTGCCTATCTTGCCCTCTGCCTCTACCCGCCCCCCTGCAGGGAGCTGTGAGTGACAGTCATGGCTCTCTGCAGGGATAGATCGAGAAGTGAGCGAGCGGCGGTATGTGCTCGCTCAGTTCCCAAACTACTGAGCCTGCCTGTGACAGTTTCATTGTGACAGGTCGGCTCAGATCATGAGGCTGAGTGAAAATCACTCACCTCATAATTCTCCTTTTTAAGAACAATATGATCACCCTCCAGGCTACAAATCTCCTGACCACTAGGAAGGGGCGAAGGGGTTTCTTCTCAGTTATATCAGTCAGGGTCTGGAACTCGCTGCCACATGCTGTGATTTCGGCTGAGAGTGTGGAATCATTCAAGAGGCGATTGGACGATTTCCTCAGAGACCGAAATATACAGGGGTACAGATACCTATACACACGCACACATCCGTAGGACCATACACCTACACACAATAGGTTGAACTTGATGGACATATGTCTTTATTCAACCTCAAATACTATGTAACTGATTTGTTTGTTGTAGAGCATTGAGTTCAGAAAATGAAATGCTTCACAGAGGTGTATATATACAGTGTTTCCCTGAAAATAAGACACTGTCTTATATTTTTCACTCGGTCTTATTTTCGGGGTAGGTCTTATTTTTTTTTTCTTCAATGTACAACAATCCACACTACAAGTCTACATGTATTCAGGTACACAAATATGGTGATCAGGGCAATCGGGGTGCCGTACCTTTCCAAGAGCAATTTGCTAACTAATCGCTGGCCAAGATGAGCTGAGCGCACTTTTACTATGGATTCCTCACAGGCGGCGTGCATTTGGTTTCACTCCGCCTGTGACAGGAGCCGGCGCTATAGAGGAGGCATCGGCTTATGCGGCTCTGCTCCCTCCGGTGCCGCCTCGCTTCATCTAGCGTTGGCATCGCTGATCCTCAAGTTCCCCCTTATGCCACCACCATCCCTGGGAATGGTCACAACTAGGTCTTATTTTCGGGGTAGGTCTTATTTTCAGGGTGTATATATGTGTGTGTGTGTAGAAATAATTAATAGTATTACATTTCTAGCCACTTGCAACATTCTACAACTCTCATCCGTGCCACTAGTTTTTATTTGATGAATAGGCAGCATTCTCAGTGATGTCACCGGTCTCTAGTGAATGGGTAGGCTGCATTCTCAGTGATGTCACCGGTCTCTAGTGAATGGATAGGCTGCATTCTCAGTGATGTCACCGGTCTCTAGTGAAGGGATAGGCTGCATTCTCAGTGATGTCACCGGTCTCTAGTGAAGTGATGGGAACAAATGAATGCAGCCACCAAATATAAGAACTGGTAAGCTGCTATATTACGAATTATTATCCATTCCCCCTCCAAGCAGCATATACTTGTCTTTGCTGGTGCCTGTGATGCTTCATTCTCTGGCTGCCAGTGACTGGAAGTATGTGGCACTTCCAGGGTATGGATGAGCTTGTCACTCATTCTTCTGTCCTATGTACCTCATTATTGGTCAAGTGCTCTCATGGGCCTAAGAAGATGTCTGAAACCTGAGTGGAGCAATATGGGGAGGGGGTTGCAGATCAACAAAAAGTGAGCATAGGCTTCTGTAGAGAGGAGAGGCACATTTATATTTTAAGCCAATTTCTTTTTTTTCATTTAGACTAGAATAAGGAATGTCCCCGTCATGGTTGCATTTTTTTGCCATGTGTCACATTGGGGAGATTTCCATTCACTTTCTCAGAGAACCAACAGGAATTGAGCGGAAATCTTTCTACAGCGAGGAAAAAAAAAATCTGACAGTTGCCACCATAGGAAGATATCATCTTTCTTTTCTGTGGGCAAATCCAAAATTGTGGATGTTCCCTCACTTTCAGTGCTGGTGACTATGGACAACCAGACCTAGAATGTGGAGACTGAATCTCCCCAGTTGGGAGAACAATAAAAGAAAAGAGTTAGAGGAGAACTATGAGGTGAGTGATTTTCATCGGTAAGTGAGCGAACACATACCGGCGCTCGCTCACTTCTCGATCTATACCTGCAGAGAGCCGTGACAGGGGAGGGACTGGATTCCCCCCTCCCCTGTCCGATCCTCCAGCGCTGACTGGAGAAGCAGACGGGGGAGGGGCGGGTACAGCTGGCTCTGCCTCTGGATAGGCAGAGACAGCTGTCACTCACGCAGCTGGGTGGATCCAGACACAGTTGTCGGGATCCGCTCCGGCTGCGGCCTCTCAGTATACCGCGAGCTGCAGCTCGCGGTATACTGAGCTTTGGGTGACAGGAGGACGCTAGTTTGTGTCCTCCCGTTACCCTTAGGAGAACTATGGGGAAAAGCACTGACCCCATAGTTCTCCTTTTTTAAAGGTTCTACATTTTCCAAACTCTAAAACTAAAAAAGGTTTGGACTTTAGATACTTTTTAGGTGACCCTTGTAGTTTCTCTGAAGCTGCAGCTCGCGGTATACTGAGCTTTGGGTGACAGGAGGACGCTAGTTTGTGTCCTCCCGTTACCCTTAGGAGAACTATGGGGAAAAGCACTGACCCCATAGTTCTCCTTTTTTAAAGGTTCTACATTTTCCAAACTCTAAAACTAAAAAAGGTTTGGACTTTAGATACTTTTTAGGTGACCCTTGTAGTTTCTCTGCATGGACCATGACCTAAAATATGACTGAGAAGTAACAACGCTATTGTAACTCTATCCTATAAGAGTACATTGTGAATGTTGGTTCCCTCCTCAGAAATTCATATTTCAATTTTGAATGGTTCTCCAGCTTCTGTATATCTCTTAGGCCCCATTCACACCTATGCGTATTGTAATATGCGCGTCTGTTGCACGACCGTCACGCGTTTTTTTACCGCGATTCGCGGTAAAAAGTCGCGCGATTACAAAGGCTACTTGGCAGTATACAAATGGAAAACGCCCTACAAAACGGACCAATACGCAGCAAAGAACGCTCCGGGACCTTTTCATGCGTGGGCCGTTTTATAGTGCGTTCGGGACGGGCGGAAATACGGACAGGTGGGAACGATACCATTGACTACAATGCTATTTATTTTTTTTACCGTTTTGTAGAGCGTTCATCGAGCGTAGGACGCGCTACAAAACGGTCAGGTGTGAATGGGGCCTTAGACTTCTGAGCTCAGTCATCGCCACAGAATTTCTGACTCTGTCCCTCTGTTCAAGGCAATTTGGGGAATGAGGGGTTGTACTCCTTAGCCAAAGCCCAGGACATGTTATATTTTTGTTTCCTTCAGTTGCCACCAGTTCTGACCATTTATCGTGTTTTTTTAATCTTTTTTGCAGCTATGCATGAAGCTTCCAAAAAGCTAACCGAGTGTCTGCAAGAAGTCTACGAGCCCGAGTGGCCCGGCAGAGACGAGACTAACAAGATTGCAGAGGTAAGGCTTCGTCGTCTGGTGTCAGGTTCCTGGATACAGATCTCAGCTTGTGTTTTTCTTTACTAAATGAGGGTATATGGTTTGTTGCTGGTTTAAAGGAGAACTATAGGGTCAGGGCTTTTCCCCGTAGTTCTCCTTAGGGTAACGGGAGGACACAAACTAGCGTCCTCCCGTCACCCTAAGCTCCGTATACCGCGAGCTACAGCTCGCGGTATACTGAGACACGGCAGCTGAAGCAGATCCCGACAATTATGCCGGGATCCGCCCAGCTGGGTGAGTGACAGCTGGCTCTGCCTATCTAGAGGCAGAGCCAGCTGTACCCGCCCCCTCCCCTGTCCGATCCACCAGTCAGCACATGGCAGAGACCCGTGACAGGATCGAGAGGTGAGCGAACCCGGTATGTGTTCGGTCACTTCCTGATCTACTGAGCCGACCTGTGACAGTCTCATTGTCACAGGTCGGCTAGAACTATGAGGAGTGAAAAGCACCCCCCTCATAGTTCTCTAACACTTTATCATCTTGATGGTATATGTCAAGGAGTATTTATTTGCGTTAGAACTGCCTTTCTCCCAGTTCAAGTCAATGGCAATTCCAAAGCGGCGTAGGAGAACAACTGCAGGTCAAATGAACCTGTGAGGTTGCTCAGAATTAGCCCTGATTTGGACTCAGATGCAGGTTGAATGCATGTGAAAGTTCAGAGTTCATCACCATCTATACACACCCCCATTGATATAGGTTTTCCTTTCATGTATCAGTGCATCGGGGACGGGAAGAATGTAAGTCTTGGTGTTTAGAGCTTATATTCTAATGGGGAAGAGGAGATATAAGGGTCTGGCTTGTTGGAGACCATAGTCTGATGGGGAATTGGGGATATAAGGGTTCTGTTCACTTGAATGTGAAGTAGAACACCAGCAAAAACATTCTTAAGTTTTGGGTAGAGTAGGGATCATGGCCATTTGTGCTCCGCCGTTGGAGAAATTACCCTTCTCTGTTGGTCTTGGTGACTATGGCCTGTAGGATAGAACATGTTGGGAAATGTAACATGTTTTGTTATACAGCCTGACATTAAAACCAACCTTCTTCAATAACTTTACCCCATTCCCCCCCCC